GAATAGAAGGAATGTACCTCAACATAATAAAGGCTATATATGACAAACCTATAGCCAACATCATTCTAAATGGGCAAAAATTGAAACCATTTCCTCTAAAGTCAGGAATGAGATAAGGGTGTCTACTCTCTTTGTTGTAGAATTCCTAGCCAAAGCAATAATACAGGAGGAAGAAATAAAAGGAATACAAATTGGAAAGGAAGAAGTCAAACTATCACTATATGCAGATGACATGATCTTATACCTAAAACACTGGAAAAACACGAAAAAAACCTCCTAGACATCATAAACAGCTTCAGCAAAGTAGTAGGATACAAAATCATTTACAAAAATCAGTAGCCTTTCTATACACTAACAATGAACAGACTGAGAAAGACTATAGGAAAATAATTCCATTTAGAATAGCCTCAAAAAAAAAAAAAAAGATCTAGGAATAAACATAACAAAGGACGTAAAAGACCTCTACAAGGAAAACTAAACCATTGAAGAAAGAAATCGAAGAAGCCTACAGAAGATGGAAGGATCTCCCATGCTCATGGATTGGTAGAATCAATGTTGTGAAAATGGCTATACTACCAAAAGCAATCTACATGTTCAGTGTAATCCCCATCAAAATTCCAATGACATTCATCACAGAGATTGAAAAAGTAACCCTAAAGTTCATTAGGAAGCACAAAAGACCACAAATAGCCAAAGCAATACTGAGCAAAAGGAGCAACGTTGAAGGTATCACAATACCCAACTTCAAAATATACTACAGAGCCCTAACAATACAAACAATATGGTGCTGGCACAAAAACAGATATGAAGACCAATGTAACAGAATAGAAGACTCAGATATGAATCTGTGCAGCTATGCCCATCTGATTTTTGACAAAGGCACCAAAAACTTATGATGGAGAAAAGACAGCCTCTTAACAAATATTGCTGGGAAAACTGGATATCTGCCTACAAGAAAACTGAAACTAGGTCCATGTCTGTCACCCTGTACAAGTATCAACTCAAAGTGCATTAAGGACCTGAATATAGCACCTGAAACTTTGAAGCTAGTACAGGAAAGAGCAGGGAATACAGTGGAATTAATAGGCATAGGCAGTGACTCCCTCAGTAGAACTCAAATGGCTCACCAACTAAGAGAAAGGATTGACAAATGGGACTACATGAAGTTTAAAAGCTTCTGCACAACAGTAGAAATGGTCACCAAATTGAAGAGGCTGTCCACAAAATGGGAGAAAATCTTTGCCAGGTATACATCTGACAAGGGATTAGTAACCAGACATATAGGAAGCTCAAAAAACTAAAGTCCCCCCAAAAAAATCAATGACACAATGAAGAAATGTGCAAAAGAACTGAATAGAGCTTTTTCAAAGGAAGTCCAAATGGACAAAATACACTTGAAGAAATGTTCAACATCCCTGGCCATAAAGGATCAAAGATTTGATCCACATTAAGATTCCACCTCACTCCTGGTGGAATGGCTACCATCAAATGTTGGTGAGGGATGTAGGAGAAGAGGAACCCTCATATACTGTTATTAATGTAAATTAGTACAACCACTATGAAAACCAGTTAGGAGTCATGTCAAAAAACTAAGAATAGAACTGCCATATGATCCAGCAGTTCTACTGCTAGGGATATACCCAAAGGTGTGTAAAGGCCCCTCACACCCATATTTACTGCAGCATTATTCACACTAGCTAAGCTATGGAAACACCCAAGATGCCCCACTACTGACGAAGGGATTAAGAAAATGTAGTATTTATACACAATGGAATTTTATTCAGCCATAAAGAAGGATGAAATTTTGTCGTTTGCAATAAATGAATGGAACTGGAGAACATCATCTTAAGTGAAGTTAGCCAGGTTCAGAAGGCCAAAAGCTGCATGTTTTCTTCCATATGTGGAATATAGACCTAGTACAAATATAGCAATATTATGAAAAACAGGTTACACTAAGGGGAGGTCACATACAAGAGAGGGAGGGTAAAAGAAGGAAGTTAAGGTGAATATGGTTGATGTACTCTCTACACAAGAATGAATATAGAATTTTTAAACCTGTTGAACTCCCCAGAAAGGGGACTAATGTAAAAAGAAGAAAACAGAGGAAATGAACCATTCAAATTATAATACATATATACATGAAAATGTCACAAGGAAACTCCCTGTATAGCTATCTTAAGCAAGCAAAAATGTCAGGTTTTTTTCCTTTTACAAAATTGGAAAACAAGAGGGTAGAACAAATCCTGTCGGGGGTTGGTACCAGTGGGACCAATTGTGTGTGTGTGTCCTGAAGATGATGGAGGGTGAATATGGTCCAAATACTGTGTACACATGTATGTAAGTGGAACAAATGTTGAAACTATTCCAGGAATGTGGGAGGATAAAGGAGAATGGTGGAGGGGATGAATTCAAGTGTGATATATTTGATATGTTGTAAGAACTTTTGTAAATCCATCATGTATTCCCAGCACAACAATAAAAAAAGAATAATGTGACTACTGTGCTGGTCATAGTTAAATTAGTCCTGACAGTCAAACAGTGTGTTTCCAGAACCCAGCTGTAGTTTGGGAGGTCTGTGAGAGAGAGCATGCACACATTTTTTTTTTTTCTGAATACTTTTGGAAAACCATCCATCTAATGCCTCATCGTAAAAACAATGATTTGGATATTGTGAGTAACAAAGTATTGGTTTCTATTTTAAAATATCTTTGGTTTTATTATCTACCTACTTATTAAATATTAGAAGATATGGTTGGAAGGAAACTAGATGAAAGTGATTAAACAGCCTCATTTTTCCCAAAGTGATGGGTTGCTAGACTTTGAGAAGACTGGTCAGTCTAAAGAGATGAGCAAACCTAGGCTTACTCTTAAGCTGGTTACACAGGGCTCTGCCTAACATGGTGCTCACCTTCTTCAGCTCTTTTCAGCCTGATTACATGAAAGTCTCTTTAATTTATAAGTTACTAATACCTGCTGAGAACAGTACCACATTTAAATAAAGTTCTTTAGGAACAATTGAAAGTATTAATGTTAGGGCACATCTATTAACATCTGGGATACATTGAATTAATCCCTCCTGCCACTGCCTCAGGGCCTTACCCTCAGAGTTCTGCATGAGAAGCAGCTCCGTCTCAATTTTGAGGATTTGCCTTATGATTTTTTGAATGGTCATGGCAAAAGTGACTTAGACAATGCCACTGCCAATGTTTGATAAGGGAATTGTTGTGTGCTGTTTATCATACCTTGTGAAATTTACCCCACTGTTCCTCTTTTCTAATTCCTGGATTCAGGATGTTCTTCTGTCATTGGTACTGGCTCCAGCATGAGCTCACTTTTAGTGGCACTGTATCTTCAGATGCCCCTTTCCATATCAGGATTCCAAAATAGAAACACAATTCAGAATCAAATCCATGTCAAAGTTCTTAGAATAATGGTTTTTGGAGCTCTTATTTAAACCCACTATTTGGTTTTTTTTTTCTGTCTAATGCATAGTTATTAATGTTTATCTTTCTGATAAGTAGCCAAACATGCAGAGGATAGTTGCCAGCTTTGGGGATGTTCATGTTCCTTTTGTTTCAATCCTGGTTGCCCTAGAGAGGAGGATTCTCTCTTAGTTGGCTATTGAATGTTCTTTTCATTTGACATCCCTTTCCCTTGTCCTCTGAAGGGTCTGTCTCCCAGTTGGCCTTTAATTTAGACTGACTTTTGGACTACTTATAGGAGGTGCCTACATGGTAGATGGAAAGCTAAGAGCTAAATCTTTGGAGCCAAACTGCTCTGTTTCAAAGCTGACCCCACTATGAGACCTTAGGAAAATCTCATTATTTAAAATCTTTTTTAAAAAGGGGGGAAATAATAGTATCTACTTTATGAGATTGTTTGAAGGATTACATGAGTGAATAGATATGGAGTGCTTAGAACGTTGTCTAACACATAGTAAGTCCTTCATAGGTGTTAGCACTTGTTAGCATGACCAGCTATATCCATGATCAGTTAGTGGTGAGTATGCATTGGATTCAAGGATTCTTAACTATGGACAAAAGATACACCTGCGTGCCACGCAGAAGGCATTGAATGAAGCCTGTGAGCATCCACACTGCCTGGTTTCCCCTGCTCATCCAAACTGCCTCCTGGCAGAGTGAGATCCAAGCACACTGGAGAACACACATCTTACTCCTGCAGGCTTATTGGCCTCAGTCATGAGAACAGGACCCAGACCTCCAGGGCAGGCAGTTAGCTTTGTCTTGGTCATGAGTTCCAGCATCATGTCTGCCTTGAGCTCCCTCTGCTGGTCTAACTAGCATGTGTGCAAAGCTGTGGAATAAGCTTTAAAAAAATTCAGTTATAAGTTTTTCGGTATGTTTACATAAAAGCTTTCAAAAACATATGTATACGAGTGATACAGATCACATCTATATTACTCTTTTGCCATTTGCATTACAAGTTGGGATATTTTCAGGTTTGAAAGTTTTTTTGGTTTGATTTCCCAAAAGGTGCTGTCATGACATGCTGAGAAACTTTCAAAACGAGCTGATTATGGTGTTTTATATTCCAGCATGTGGTACTAAATATCTTAGAGTCTTTAAGTCTAAAGTAAAGACTACCATTGAACTGGAGACTTAGCTATTAACTCATAGAATCTCAGACCCCCTGTGACGTTGCTATGTTGAGGGCTGGTACATCTCAGAAAATAGTATTTCAGATTTATTGGGTGGTTCATTATATTTTAGAGTGATAATCTATTGATAAAATGTACTGCAAAGTCCCTAAAATCATATGCTAAAATCACTTTTCTGGCTGGATGTGGTGGTGCATGCCTGTAAGTCCAGCACTTGGGATGCTGAAGCGGGACTTTTGCCAATTCCAGGCCATCCTGAGCTACACAGTGAGATACTGTCTTAAAAACTTCCAATGATAATGATAATTATTATTGTTTCTTTGTGTTTTCCTTCTTGGTATCTCCTTTCTCTCATCCATCTCTTCTCTCTCTTTGCTACTAGGATCAAACAGCATAAACCGGATAACTTCAAATATGGAAAATGGCGAGAACGAAGGAACGACTAAAATTATCGCGCCTTCACCAGTAAAAAGGTAACCAAAGGAGCACACAACCATATGCTGGCATAAAAATGACCTTTCCCTATTGACAAGGTTAAGAAGGCATTTACCTTGATAATTAACCAATACTTTTGATCCAGGGATTCCAGTAGATAGTATCTGGGCTAAGGAATACTTTAAAATGCCAGTGAAATATAAAACATCAAGACCTGCCTCTTTCAGTGAAGAAAGTGCTCTTGTTCTGACAGCATGATGAACTCACACATTGTCTATGGTCTGCATTCTCAGCAGAAAAGTGAAAATTCCATGTGATTTTTAAAATGGAATGAGGTAATGGACTAACTCAGAGGGACTTGTGAAATAAAGTAGATGATATTTATATTTAATATAATCTAGTCGTTACAAGGGTGCACTGAACTGTGGCCCAGGAAAGAGGGTTTATAGCATTTAAAGGCATCAGAGCCTCAGAAGTCAAGAGATTGCATATGTATGAAGAGTTGTCACAGTCCCCTGCATCAATTTTCCCTGTGGCAACCCCCAGGGAAAATCCTTCTCCTAATATATTACATGGATTGTTTCCCTGAAAGATGGGCCTTGTTTTCTGTTAAGACACTGTTTCAAAGTCATTTTTTCCTATCTCCAATTATGTTCATGGAGCAGCATTACAGACATATAATGAGCAGCTTTCATAAGCTCCCTCTCACATGCATCATGGAGAGGTCCAAGCAGTCAGAGATGTGTGACCTGAAACCTGTTAGATCATCTGCACCATGCTTTGCTAGTAAATAATGGTGCCTTCATTCAGAAAGACTGTGGCTGCTTTAAGGAATATAAGTTATAATTCCTCTGCAAGATAATTTTATGAAGCAAGCATTCTCAGAGTTGTGATATTATTCCCCGGTTTTTGTCTACATTTTCTATTGTTTAGTTCTGGGACATTTCCTTTATAGATTATCTTTTGGGGGTAATACACTCTTTGCCCTTGAATATACTTTAATTTTCTGTTTCATTTGTGGTTAGAGGCAGCTTCACGTATAGGGTATGCTTATGATATATACAACATAAGAGCAGTAATCTTCCATGAAATTCAGATCCCAAGCCGTTTAGAATGTGGAGAAGTTGCTCAATGCCCTTGCAACTTCTTGCTGCCAACTCGCTTAGGGAGAGAACACAATTATTGCACCACCGGGATTTCATTCTTCAACGTACATCTACTCTCAGTTCCCCTGTCATCTCCCTATTTCTTTTTCAATCTCCCCTTTGCTTCACCTTGCTTTTTCCTTCGGATTTACAAAATACGCACACTGTGTGTTGTTGCATTAAATTTTTACCATGTTTATTACTTTTCCTTATTTCTAAAGTTAAGTGTTTACTTTGGGAAGTTGATCTTCAGAAGGCTTTTTTTTAAACTTCTGTAAAAATAATACATTGTTCATATGTAAAACATACCTACTGTCTACTATGACCATGAGGAATATGCCTTTGTCAGAAATATAATTTTATAGGCATATATTAATTCCAGCATAGAGATAGTATGCTAGGATAAAAGTTCACTTCTGTTTTTGGTTTTGAAATGACCTTGGAAATTTTTTCTTTCTCCTCTTTGTTGGCAGCTATATTTGAAGAACTCTGCTACAGCTATATTTGAAGACAGTTATATGGATAATCCCCCCCTCCAAAAAAAAACCCCAAACAAACAGAGTAATCAGTGCATTAGGAGTTAAGTAGCTCTATCTTTTTCTGCAGCTAAGATTCCTGAGGAAGTGAGACGTGACCCCTACGCCCCTCTGCCAAGTCCCTTCCTCTGTTTCCCTATGTGTTCCTAAAACAATTTTTGGGATTGAATAACAACTCGGTTATATTTACATTCTTAGGGTAGAAAGATGATACTAGGTCAGGAAATAGCGTTTGAAAGTCATTCTGCTCCGGAAGGATGGAGCCAAGATACAGCGGAAGCTGGGGAAAGGTCAGTTTGCGTAGCCTGAGCCCAGAGCTGACTGACCTCCAGATTCTGACCCAAGTCCACAGCCAGAGAGTCTCTGACCACTATTTTATTATTTTTATTTTATTTTATTTTTTATTATTCATATGTGCATACAAGGCTTGGGTCATTTCTCCCCCCTGCCCCCACCCCCTCCCTTACCACCCACTCCGCCTCCTCCCTCTCCCCCCCAATACCCAGCAGAAACTATTTTGCCCTTATTTCTAATTTTGTTGTAGAGAGAGTATAAGCAATAATAGGAAGGGACAAGGGTTTTTGCTGGTTGAGATAAGGAGAGCTATACATCTGACCACTATTTTAAAGAGCGCCCAGCCTCATAAGCCCGTGTGCCCCATGTTTCCCTCCTCCTCAGCTTGCTGCTTTTCTTGGCTCATGGTTGCTTTTGCTTCCTATCCTGAGGTGGACTCTTTCAAAAGTTTCTTAACAATTGATGGACCTGGCTTCTGTTGACTTAGAGCAATAAAACTAGAAGGGAGGAGGAGACCCAAAGTACTTGCTGGAGAAATATATATTTTAGACAGTCACCTCTTGTTAGACAGGTATGAATAAGAAATAAATGTGTATGCATACATCTTAACATTTGTTAAATAATTTTACAAGAAACCAATATATGAGTTAACGTCTTTTTCTGGGTAATTTATTTTCCTTTTTTTTTTTAATTAAAGCTTTAAGAAATCAAAGAGTGAAAACAGCCCTGATACCCAAAGAAGCAAATCTCATGCACCGTGGGAAGAAAATGGCCCCCAGAGGTAAAGGGACTCCCTGTCTTTAGAAAGAACAGTAGCAAAGAGGTTAGCAGTTTGACGTCACTGAGTAAAGGAATTCCACTGCTGTGTGGCCTGGTCACAGGTGGCAGTGGATGAGGCAGATTCCTAAGTCGACTTGATTGGGGGGAGATTCCAAAATAGCAATCAAGAGAATGTTGATTGTTTTGCTTTCTCTTCTTTTTTTCTGGTACTGGGGGTTAAACTCAGAGCCTTGTGCTTGCTAGGCGGGAGCTATGTCCTTGAACCATGCCCCAAGCCCTATGGTTAGCAACCTCAATGTAAAACTTTTTCCTGGAAAGACAGAAGGGAACCCAAATGCATATTAAGAAATCACCTGAAAGGTCATTATGATAGTTGAGAGTGAGCTGATTTATTTCTGCAAACTTTAAGTGGCCTGTTAATGAGGATTTCCATTTCATAGCTCTCGTGAAAACTCCCAAGTTGACATGTTGACTATTCCTTTACTCCAGTGGACTTTACAATTCTCCCAGTGACCGCACTAAGTCACCAAAGTTCCCCTACACTCGTCGCCGAAACCCCTCTTGTGGAAGTGACAATGACTCTGTGCAGCCAATGAGGAGAAGGTAAGCTGAACACAGCTCTGGTTCCAGTTTCCAACAAAAGCTTTGGGTCCCAGGCATGCTTTTTATAACAGGTGATTCTCATAAAGCCATTACCATTTGCCTGCTCGAGATGACAGGAGCTTATTCTCTTCAGGATAAAGTAGGCTAGGGAACTTAAAGAATATATCTGAAACAGCCAGAAATTTTTATAAAATATCAAGAGGAACTTGCTTTCTGTATTTTAATTGACTAATAAACTTAAAACTATCTTATGGTATATGCTAACTATGTAGTATGTATATTGTATGATATCTGTGTGTATTGATAACAATGTATATAACATACAATATACATATGTAGCATATAGTATAGCATATAATATATAACAATATATATAGCTATATATATGTATATGAAGACAAGACTACACTTAAAGTATTCCTAGTTGAGCCAAGTGCTCCGCCATTCATACTCATTTTGTTATGTAAGCATCAGTGAAACCCCTGTCAAAACAGAGAAAATGAATCCTGTTATCGCTTACATAGATCAGAATGTTTGTGTGGTTTTGTGTATGCATGCTTCATTTTTTAAAAAAGCCTATACCTATCAGTTTTAGATTCTGCAAGGCAGGCTGGTCAATGTGGCAGAAAAAAGAGAGGAAAATCTAGAAGTGACTTACCAGCAAAATTTCTTTTACTCCTACACTAAAAGGATTGGGTTTTACTTTGGCCACCTACATAATTGGTAGTTTTATAAGTGACTTTTGTAATTATAGAAAGTTCAGGTCACAATGTCAGTTAACATCAAGATTCTTTATGCACACCACAGCTTTGGAAGCAAAGCCTTCTCCCTCCTGTGCTCTTGTTCATGCTTATTTGCTGATCCTTCTCCATTCTGTACCTTTTACTTCTGTCAGTTTCCCAGAGTCTTGCTTCCCAGCTTTCTCAAGTTGGGTCCAACTTCACTGAAATCCTTTGATAATAATAAGAGTCTACATCATCTTTTCCTAGACAGACTGAGAAGAGGGAACCAGGTCAGGACCAACAGTGATTAGATAGAACCGTTGGGTAGTAGTTGGCATTTGTTTGTTATTTACTATGTTCTAAGAACTGGGCTAAGTGTTTGCTTTATAGCATCTCATTTGATCCTGAGAGTGAGCGTCCTGGAATTGAAGTTTTGGTATGGTTACAAGGCATTTCTAGGAGAGAGAGATTAGGAAGGCAGTTGGTACAAAAGTGTGAGAAGGATCAAGGCACAAAAAGTGGAGAGTAGTGTAATCCAGAGATCTGGCTATTGTTCTTTCCCTTGGACTGGAGAGAAGGGGCTGTTAAAGAGATGAGAGCCACTTCTACTGCAAACTGGGCCTGCTGAGCCTGTGCTGCTGATGTTGCTATAGGCATCCCACAGATGCCACAGGGGTACTCAGCAGGATTTGCCCTTGCTGCCATTTCTAGAGGCCACTACCATGGCTAGGGCCATGGAACCACTTCTTAGGAATGTAGGAGTTGGTGCTACAGTTGGCCAGAAGCATAATTGCTTTTCCTTTCCTCCTACTTTCAAGTGTTACCTGAGAGCCCAGCTGGCAAGGAAGTCCAGAAAATATACTTTTCATTCTTCCAGTCCTGTCAGTAAAGGGGAGGCTATTGATGTGTCAGTATGGGGCTGATTAACAATGAAAACTACCTGTCCAGCGTTATCATCTCTCTTTGATAGATGAGAAAACAGACTGAGGGAGATGGCAGTAGCTTGTCTTTCATGGCACATCTGGAATTCAAATCCAGGTCTATAAGTCAGGAAAAGATAGGAAAAATGATCCCTCATTTAAATAAGGCTCCATTCCAGCCCTTACTGAGCTTTCTCTTGGGGACACCAAGGATTTTCACCTTGGACAAAACACCATCATTGTGAAATACTTTAGAGTGCATATGTCTGTCATTGACAAGGGTGTAAGTGGTGATGGCTTGGCTCTGTATTGTTACTGGTACATGGATAGATTTTTAATTCTTAATTATTCGTACAATTTGTTCGCACTCCCTACATGAAATTAATACACTTATCAAACACATTGTTGTTTTGATTTTGCTACATTTGAAAGTGAATTTATCAAGTTTAGGTAAAATGTACAAAATTTCTTTTGCCTTTTTTATCCAAACTAATTGCTTGAAATTGTTTGAAGCATATACATTCCCAAACTTGGACTTAATGACTTCTGTACCAAGATATATTTTCTGTTGGCTTCCTGTGAAATGTAGAGAGGTAATTATGGAGTGGATACAGGATCCCTTCTGTTGCATAGTCCAGGCAAGGACTAATTTACTGTGAAGAGAGTTCTTTTGTCTGAGAGGCTCTTGAGCCTTTTGTCCATTCTGTGGATCACTTCAACATCTCTTGCTGGGCATACTCCTTTTGAGTGATCAGCCATTGCTAGGTGTTGGCATACGAGAGCTAAAGTGCATTATTCTCCATTTCTTCCCACTTTCGTGTCCTATAAATGTCCCTGTCCTTGTCAGTCTTATTTTATCTTCACACACATTTACTTTGTCTCTGGGCACAGATCCCTGCATTGCTGGATTAACTCTGACATTTAAAACTGAGATAGGTCATCAGCATAGAAGAATGTCGAGGATTTAGATTTAATAATAGGAAATACTGTTTTGTTTTGCAGCCAGGGTGTTTTGCAAAAGGTATCAGAATTTCTTTCTCAGTTGTTTATCAGGAGTAGATATAAACTATCAAATTCTGGCTGAGTCTTGAATAGTGGTCCTTAATCTTTTTGGGTGCCAGAACCCTCTGAGAATCTGATAAAGTATTGAGTTCAGTACCTAGTGGGAGATGGATATATGTTTATATATACCCTATATTTATATATTCCCAGGCCATTATATACATTTATTTATTTACAACACCCTAGTTATATTTAACCATTTTACATAATATTCTGGGTTTATAGAATCTCTGACACTTGCTTATAGGAGAAGAAAACCAACATACTTAATGGCAACACAATGTATTTGTACCCCTCAGCTTCCCCACCTTTACTTTCAAGTACCTCCTGTGTGCCAGGCAGCTGCTAGATAACACCAGACAAAGTCCCTGTCTTTTGGAGCTTACAGGTGTTAAGGGAGAAATATACAAATCACACAAGCACATGTGCAATTATGACTTCAATGTTATATGAAGGTGAGTTAGCTCATGTTTTGAGGATTTAGAAAAACCTTTTTTTAAATTGAAACTTAGCATGCATGCTGAAAAGTAGACATCATAAGTGTAACTGCTTGGTAGATTTGCAAACCAAACTCCTGTATAAGCAATACTATCAGGGGAAGTTTGCTGAGTTGCTGAGTGAAGGGTAGAGGTGAAGGTTAGGTCTGTGACCTGGGATATAAAAACAGGCAGAAAAAAAGATGCTAGAAGAGAACAGGGACCACTCATGAAAAGAAAAAAGACCAGAAAGGTGGGGTACGACTCAAGTGACAGAGTGCTTGCCTAACATGTGTGAGGTCCTGGGCTCATCCCCAGTAGTGCTGCCTCCCCACCTTTCAGTGAGGCTGGAATTGCTCAAGCTCTAAGAGTTAACAGAAATGTATTAAAAATGACTCCGGGCTCACACCCAGCTACAGTGGGAAGAATAGAAATAGGATTGCAGTCCAGCCAGACTCCGCAAAAAGCAAGATCCTCTCACAAAAATAATAACCAGGGCAAAAAGGGCTGGAGGAGTGTCTTAAGCAGTAGAGTGTCTGCCTAGCAAGCTTGAGGCCCTCAGTTCAAATCCCAGTACTGCCAAGAAGAAAGAAAGAAATGAGCCCTTAGAGAAAGATGGGGCCAGACCATATTCCTCACCTGGGCCTTGTTAGGGAATTTGGTTCTTCAACCAATAGTTGTTATAAGGGAGTATAATAACACGATTGTATTTGTGTTTGTAAAGACGACCTTTACTGGCCTGTGGAAAAGTGGTGAAAGAGGACAGTATTAGAGCTGGGCATGGTGGGCACACCTGTAATCCAAGCACTTGGGAGGCTGAAGCACATAATGAGTTCCAGGCCATCGTGGGTTACATAGTGAGACCCTGTCTCAAACAAACAACAACAACAAAAAATCCCTGAATTTTAAAAAAGAAGATAGTATTGGAAATAGACCAGGCAGCAGGCTATTACATGAGACCTAACCATAGAGAATTGGAAGGTTGGACAACGTGATAATATGGAGATATAAGGAGCCATTAGGAAGAAAAATCAGTCATACCAAAAGAATCAATATGAGGGGATGGGGATCAGGAAGATAATGGAAATGAAAATAAAGCTTGAATAATTTTATGAATTCAGGTACAATGCATGAAAATAAGAATCTCCAGGACATTGCAGGCTCAAAAGGGACAATAGTGAGTTTAGTTTCTGATATATGGATTTGTGGTACTTTTGAGACATCTAAGATTCTCACCGGTTGTTGGATTATAAATCAGAGGCTAAATTAGCTGTGTGCACTGAAATATCACATATTATCAATTAATAGAAAGATGTTAATTTAAACATGGAATAGAGATAAAACTGTTTAGGCAAGTAGTGTAGATATAACCAAAGTCAATGACAGAGCTTTGAAAAACACTAGCATTTGATGCTTAGTTGAAGAGGATTGGCTGGTAAAGAAGGCAGAGAGATTGTGGTTTTAGGGAAAATCTGCTTGCCAAACAGATCCTCTCTCTCAAATTTTATTTTTGACCCTTCTTTCTTTGTCTTAGAATGCTAGAAGCCAGGCTTTGATTGCTCAGGCATGAGATTAGCAAATCCACTGCAGGAAATAGACAGGTTCAAGAGAAAAGACTACAGAAAGTAACTTCAGGCTACAGAAAAGATCTTCCCACAAAGGGTTGAGACTGCCCTGAAGTACAGGGAAGCCAGCAGTTAACATTCTCTTCACCATCTAGATAGCTCCAGTCTCTACAGTGCCCAGTGCTGAAGAGAGCCATGAGTGCCTCTATTCCAGTATAGCTCCTGTCTTGAAAGACAAGTGGCTGAAACAAACAAATGGGGTGTGGGGAGGGGGAGGAAACTCACAGGAAGCAGAAAATGTAAGACACAAAGAAGAATTTCTAAATACAAATTATCTGTAGAAAAATGTAAAATATTGTATCAATGAATTTCCATAAAAAAGTAAGAGTCAGTGAATAAGAGTTCTTAGACTTTAAACTAGTGCGGCAGAATTTAAATAACTAACTGAAGATTTGGAAGATAAAGTTAAGGAAATCTAGAAGCAAGACAAAAGCCAAAATAAATATACAGAAATAAAGATAATAAAACTATTGAACCTAGATAATAAAAATTCGATTAATGAAATTTCTAAGGAAGAGAGAACAGAGAAAATGTAGGAGGGAAAAATATTACAGAAATAATGTGGGTGGCAAGGGAGGGAGGTGGTCCAAACAATGTATACACATATAAGTAAATGTAAAAATGTTAGAAAAAAAAGAAAGAATACAGGAAAATATCTCAAAGGACATGACTTTATAGATAGAAAACAGCCCACTGAGCATTTGACATAATAGATTGAAAAATTAGATCCATACCATAATAGATTGAAAAATTAGATCCATATCAAGATCCACTATCATTAAATTTCAAAACACAGATCAGGGGAGAATTTTTAAGACTCGGAGGCGAGAGGAGGAAATGCGAGAGAAAAAAAAAAATCCATGAACGGATGGTGGGAAGTCAAAATGATGCTCGACTTCTTATAGCAGTATCAGAAACAAAAAGGAAAGGATACATTGCCTTCAAAATTCTGAAAGATGATTTTAAATTTAGGATTCTATGCCCAAATAAACTATAATTATATATGTAGAATAACGATATTTTCAGAAATTCCCAGTCTCAAAAAATACCTACCATTGCAAATTTTCATAGCAAACTAGAAGATATGGTCCATCAAAACCAAGCCAAGAAGTCCTAAGACCTGGAAGTATGAGATCCATAATACAGAGAATCCCAAGGAATTCTCCAGAACACAGAAAAGTGAATCAAAACACCATCTAGAGCACTAGGGAGCAGGTGGTCCACTATGAGCAGCAGGGCAGAGGGATCCAGGAAGGATAAGGATGCACACAGAATTTGGCATACCTGAGTATCCATTTGTATCAGGAGGAGTTTGGCAGTTCTCTCAAAGAGTACAGATGAAGAGTTACTGATAGTAAAGGAAAACGAAGCAAATGTTTATCTATAGAAAACTAGACAACTGTCTTCCCTCAGAAAATTTAAAACCTATACAAGGATGGAATTGTATTGCTAGAACACTATTTAGACAATCTGTGAACAATAATTATATAATTGTATATATACTCATCATTCCCCGGACGACATATCACTGTTATGTTATTAGATATAAGTATATGGGGGGAATGCAAGCCATGGTGATGCCATTAAAGAGCTATGCCCCCTCCCAATGAGAGTGGGATAATAGATGGGAAGGAAATGGAGCAGGAGATTTAGACTGCTTTCTTAAAAAGTTTTGGCTTTGAAGAAGAGACGACAGACTGGGCAGAAAAAGAGGGAGCATGTGGAGTCAAAGTAGATGTCTGTTTGTTTAAGTAAGAGAGACTTGAGAATGTTAAAAGCTGGCAAAAGAGTTTGCCAGAAGGGCAAGTGGAATACCTGTGAGAGGTGTAGGGTAGTCACATGGTGCAGGTGGAGGGACCGACCTTAGTTGTCAGGATAACTCCATAAGTAATGGAGAGGGAGATGTTGGTAAGTTTTTATGTTTGATAGCAGGAAGATGAAGGCGTAGGAAGGATCTGATGGCTCCTTTGGAAGGAAAAAGCAAGGTCATATGACGAACAGAGGTACTTAGCCAGGGATACAAGCAGAAGAGTTAGTAATACTCTGCAGAAGTAGAGTACTTGGCTTAGAAAAAGGTAGTAAGATGCTGAGCTGTGGAGGCTCATGAAAGTGGATTTGTAGTGTAACCCCCTCCAGCCCTGGTCCACCAGCTCTTTGGGTCTGGCCCTGAAAGCCTGGTTAGATGGATTCACCCACATGTGATATTTTGCCAAAAAAGATGGAATGAGAGACAGAGAGTTGGGGAGAATTGGCATGCACACTATTGAAGTGATGGACTAGAAAAATCTAAGCTGAGTAATGAAGGAAAATGAAGAGCTGCTACAAAGTTGTAAGGTCAGTGGGCAGCCATACTGGGGTTGGAAGAAAGGGTAAAATGAAAACAGTTGAGTGAGCATTAATAAAATAGCACCTTAAATTTATTGTGTGCTTATCATGATCCATGTCTACTCTGAATTTTAAACTTCCCAGTTCATTTGCTCCTCATAACAACCATTTATGGAAGGTTCTATTAAAACTAAAGTGCCAAGTAGAGAAGTAACTTGTTTAAATCACACAGCTCATCAATAGTGATGGCTTGTCTGGCTTCAGAGCCCTTGCTTTTAACCAGGATGCCCCATTGGAACTGTTTGAAGGTAAATAGGAAGTGGTAAACAGGAGGGGGAGGAGGTCACGGTCAGAGAACAGGTGGTGGAGGTGGTTACGGCTGGTAAAGTCCAAAGTGTGACCGTAATACAGATTTCTGAGTTGTAGCGAAAGAGATTATTAGAAAAGGGATTTTAAAAGGACTCTGAGATGAAGGTGTTAGAAAGAGCATTCAAGTGAGAGCTGGGGTCAGTTAGAAATCAGCATGGTAGAAAGAGTAGTGCAGACCTTGAAACTGCAGACTAACCTCATCCTTGGATGAATGCAGTACAATGCTGTGCCTTGTTATTTATAGTTTGTTTGCAGCCCCTTCTAGATTTCTGGCTGCTTGAGGCCTATTGGTGGTTTGTTACACTTCTGGGGACTTGTCTATAACAAGGACTGGGCTTATATGTGTAACTTGAATCTGATGTGAATGAACAATAGAAAACAGAGAAGAATTACTGAAATACTCATTTTGGTGTTCTTTTTCTTTCTTCCTTCCTTCCTTCCCTCCTTTCTTTCTTTTCTGACACAGGGTCTCACTACATAGCCCATGCTGGCCTTGAATTTGCTATGTGGCCGGCCAGGCTGGCCTTTAATTCAAGATCCTCTGCCTCCCGTGTGCTCAGAGATTACAAGCATGCACCAGCACATCTGGCTTGCGTGCTTTCTTTCCATCCATGTTAGAAGTCCAGTGCACTATTATCCATTGTGCCCCTGAGCCCACTTTGGTGTGCTTTCTTTAGCTAATTGATAATATTCTGTTTTCTTTAATGTTCTTTAATGTCTTATTTTTCCATAGGAAAGCCCATAACAGTGGTGAAGACTCAGATCTAAAGCAAAGAAGGAGGTAAAAAAAAAAGGGGGGGAGAGAGCTAGGGAGAGGGAAAAAGAGCTAGCAATGATCAGAGTTAAGGCAAGGTGGGGATTTTTTTTTCTTTGTTGTCGTAGCTACTTTGAGAGTACTGTATTTTAAATCTGTTTTTTTTTTTTTAACTTTTGAAAAACCAATTTTGGTTTCAACTCGTTTTCATTTTTCCCTTCTGCTCCATCTTTAGACATACAGACATTTCTCTTTTTCTTTCTGTTCCTTTTTGTCTGGGAAAAGCTGTCTCAGGTATCACTTAGTATACTATAAACTATTCTATAACATGGTGACTTAAAGATACACACACACACACATACACACACAATAAAGATACATACACACAAGTATGTATCTTTATTGTCAAGTATATATGTCATATAATTCTGTTGATTGAACAGGCATTTCTTTAGCTAGTCTTTCTTGGGATCTCAGAAGAGGCTATGTTCAGATGGCAGCTGAGGCTTTGTGGTCCATGGGGCCTTTCTCTCTCACGTTACCATCTTGGCAGAATGGCTGGAAACCTGGACCTGTCTGTATGGTCTGTGCACATAGCCTGGTCTTCTTTAGATGACTGGGAGGAAATAGAAATACGCAGTCCTGTTACGTGCCAGTACTAGAACTGGCAGAGTATCCCTCACACCTCATTCTGTTGGTAAAATCAGTCACAGGACCAGTGTAAATTGAAAGTAGAGGAAATAATCTCTACCTCTCTCTCTAAGGGGTAGGGGGGGTGACGAGACTTTTCATCTATATTTGGTCTACCACAGGGGCTTTGCCATGTCAGAGTTTTGTTGGAAGTGATTGTTTTTTGTGGTCTTTTTGGGAAATGACATTTGTCTTAATCTGCTTTCATCTTTCCCTGCCTTACTGTTTTCCTGAGAAAACAGACTTATTCAGATGTCTGACTGAGTTCAGAAGCACTAACTGGGAGAGGGATAATATAGTTCTTTATGTTTGGATTAGCAATTTTACCACAAAATTACTTCCAAAGAGCCAAATGAACCTTTCTGAAATTTTTCATTTGTCATAAACATGGGTTTTTCCCTTTGCTCTTCTCATTTTGTCTTCAGGTCACGTTCACGCTGTAACACAAGCAGTGGTAGTGAATCAGAAAATTCTAATAGAGAGCACCGGAAAAAGAGAAACAGGTAAGATCTAAATACTGTAACCAACTAGAGCTCAGAAAACAGAGGTGGTGTGTCCCATCTATTCTTAAGCCTGCTGATCTGTGTTACATAGGAATCTGGCACTATTTTGAAGCACTAGTTTAGGAAACCTTACCACTTTGAGTGTTTAATCTTTAAAATAAGATGATTAAACAGCTTGACAATGAGGTCCCCTTCCCCCTTTTAAAAAGATGATTCTATATTTAGATACAGCTTGTAGTAGATTTGTCTAAAGATAGAAGGAAAGTTTACCATTTGTGGAGAGATTTCTCTTTGAAATATTTTTTAGCATGACATTGCTGTATTTGACCTAACCAGAATGAGATTCAGTGACTTACAGATTCCATAGGTTTAGCCTTATATATCTCTGCATGCTAATATGTGTTTACTTCATGTCAAGTGCAGTAGATGAGTAAATGTAGTTTAGTGCACATTTGAGAGGCACATTTTTAAACTCTTGTTAATAATAACATCATTTGACATATAATCGGCATTGGTGTTGACTTAATGCATTAATCACTTCTCCCTAGTTCCAAAACATTTATTTGAGAACAAGTATTCATGAGGTAAATGAAAAGAGCACCAGGTTGAGAGACAGAGGGATTTAGTTGCCAGCTGTACAGTTTCAAACCCAGTGGTTCCTAACCAGTAGAGTTTTGACAGCCTGTCCTCTCCTCAAGGGCGTTTGGCAGTGTCTGGAGACATTTTTGTCATGATTGGGTGGGGGAGATCACTACTGGCCATGGATGCTGCTGAACACTGTAGTGCAGAAGACAGCCCCCCACAGCAAAGAAATATCCAGTACTAGAACATATCAGTCACTGTTGAGAACCCTGTTTTCACCTAATGTGGAGTTCTGGTCTGTTTGCTTTACTTTTCAAGGTTGTCTTTTTCTTTTCTGTAAAATGAGGAAGTTGGAGTAGGCAATCTCCAAGGCCCTTCTTTAGTGCTCAGAGCCCTTGTGCTTGGCACAAATTGAGTTGTCTGCCCTGACTACAAAGCCTGCATAATAATAGCCCAGACTGCATTGTAAGAGTGGACCACTTTCTCAGGAAAGCTTTCTAGGTGGAGCTTTCTTAGAAGGGGCTGGAATTACACCAGATGTGAGATCTCAGCATGTTTTGATACCTTTCTCAAGGAAACAATTTCAGTTTCTTTATCTGTAAAAAAGCCAGTTATGGCAGGTAGCTCTCCCTTAGGTGCCCTCTTCCTGCTCTAAAATTCAGTATTTCCGCACAAACAACAGAAAACAAAGCAAAAACAAAAAAAAAAACAAAACAAAAACCTTTTATTTAAAACATGTATCTATTGATCAAGAATTTTAATACATCTGTTCTGGAACTATGCCCATAAATGGCTTTGATCTCATCTGCTCAGAAGGTAGCTTGTTTAAAAACAGTATCTTTGGGGCCCAAACATGCTCACGGTGACATTTGTATTCAGAAACAAAGCATTATTGAAACGTTGGCACCAACTCCTTAGATTGCTCATTACTGACCTGGCTCTTCTGGCTTCAGTGCTCCTGGGTGCTTCCTGCCTCAGGAGTTTTACCTCTCTCCCTGGTGGACAGTTTTTTGGATTGGCTTTCTTGGTGCTGGGCAGGAAGTATGTTTCAGAATGTAGTGGTTCTGAATGTTTAAATGCTAATGCACTTTATAAGGCTGGTAATGAGAAATAGCTTTCAAAGTACACTCTGACACATTTCATGCACAGGATACAAAAGGCTTTCACAGTCATTTATTTTACCTGTAGAAATATTGCCTTAGGGCTATGTAGGTTTCTGTGTCTGTAGAAGATGAGATGTGCAGTCTAACTCTCAACAACAGAGCAAAAAGTAGGCAGAGGGAGAAGTATGCCTTTCAGTTCTGCTCTCCACACCTGCAAATTCTGGTGTATCAGGCAGCAGTATGCAGGGAAGGGGCTGCAGAGTCACTGTACTGCCTCTGATCTACTCACCCACTATGCCATGCCACTGCTACTTCCTCCATTCCATTGTTAGCCTTTGATCTTTTGCCAGATGCACTCCTTCTATGTATCAGGATGCATAGGTCTGAACATTTCAAATGCAGCCCTGCTACTGTCCCAATGTCTTTTTGTCTGTGATGCAGGCTGTTTCCTGATGCCTGGCATTGTTCTTGTGCAGAAGACTCCTCTTGGCAAGAGGGTCAGTCTCTTCAACCTTAGGACCTTTCCTTTTCCTGGCTGCCAGTGGGACACAACAAGCACTCAGCAACATTCTTTGTGCTTTTATGACAGGACTTGGATAACCCTCAACGGGCAAACGGAATCTGCTACACATTGGTGCTGTGTTTCTTGCTAGCAAAGTCTCTGGGTTCAGCCTTGGGTGCTTCCTCACGTTCACAGTAAAGGCCTGCACCCCAACACAGCTGCTTTCCTGTCTCCCCTTGGGAAGCTGAAGCCTGGGGAGAAGGGCAATACTGGACAAGTGGGCAATTTCAAAAACTCTTCTCACACTCTTGGTGTGTCCAGTGCAACTTCAGGCAGACTCAGTTTTACCTGGGAAGGTTGTGTGGTCTTTGAGATGTTGTTCCTCTTGTCACTACTTCTTGCTGGATTTTTTTTTTTTAACATAAAGGAAGTCTTTCCTGTTAGGCTTGAGTCCACTCTGTGGAACAAGTGTGGTTTTTCACAAAATCAACCTGTGGGTGGTTAAGCTGCTACCCGTTTCCATGGGTAACAATTTAAACACCTCTCAGTTTTTGTGAACAGAAACAAAAGTTAACGCATTGTCTGCAGATTAATTTCATCCAAAGTAGGTAACACTACTTAAAAAAAAAAAAAAGTCAAAATCTGCACCAACAATGGTGGGCTAATTCCAGAAGCAAGGATGGTTTTGTTTAGTTTCAGTTTTAGAAAAATACAGCTTAAATAACCACCCCCCTCACTTTTGTGACAAGAACTAATGAAGCCAGATGTGTGAGGATTCTTCCTACAGTTGTGCATTAACTATAGGGTTTTGTTTCACAGTTTTCTAGAAACCAGAAGGGTTCATCCTCCTTTATTTGGGGGAAGGGGAGACACCATTTATGGCTTTGTGTACCCCTTTGCATCTCAGTTACCCTTTCTTTACTGATTTCACAGTCCACATGGGTATCCTACTGTCTTCTAGGTGTAAAGATTTGAAAAGAGAAGGCTTTGCTCCCTTTTTATAACCAACTGGAGCAGTGCTTCTAAGATGACAGACAGTCCTTATTTCCCGTAGTAGTTTCTTATCTATAATTTCATCTCCTTCCCTGTATTCTCTTGCTTCCTGTTTCACCCTTTATATCTTGCTATTTTCCGCACTCGTTTCCCTTCTTTTTCTTTCCTACTCTTTCTTCTTTCTTTGTCTTTTTTGAATTATTTCTCTACATAGAAGCCAATGGTTTTTTAAAGAAAAACCAAGGATTTAGGTTAGGGTATTGTTTCTGCTATGTACTGATAATTTGACCTCAGGCAACTCATATAACAAATTCAAATCTTGGTTTTTTGGTCTTTAAAGATGTGTGTGGGGGAGAATAACAACTGATCTGTTTTGCTGAATGAGTTACTATACAGATTGAATGGAATCTTTGAGGTGAGAGCAGTTTGGGGTGCAGAGCCACACAGTCTTCTATACCCACCCTGTTCTGGCACTCCCTCTTCTTCCCTTGTCATCTCCTCCACCCTCTTCCAGCCTTTTCTACCTTTCACTTGCTCCTATGTTCCACTCCCCTACCTTTCCTAACTTTACACATTTGATTATTTTCATACCAGGCATTCTTAACCCCTGATTCATGAGTGAGTTTTAAGGGTCTCAAACCCATAGACTAAAATTTTGTGTGCCTCAGATACAGTTTTCTGGAGATAGGGTTTGTAGTTTTTTATGTGATTTCCCTCCCCCTCCAAAAATCATGAAGGATAGGTTGATATTGAGAAATGAAATTGGTGTTTCAATTTACTGATGGGATTAAAAGATAAAATGTTTAAACTTTCTTTAGAGATTAAAGTACTTTGCCATACTGATTTGTGAAATGATTTGATTAAATTCAAATTGGGAGCATACCAAAGTATAAGAGCTTTGATGTTAATGATCCATGTGAATATTCGATTGTACCAGTTGTGACTAGTTAGAATTTTGAATCTTGTGCCCAAGATCAGCAAGGTGAGCCAGTTTATAGGTTTGAGCCTATGGGCAATGGCCCTGGATTCACCCAAGGCATGTATTATTGAAGGAAGAACCAGCGGTAGACTTATCAGAGTAAAACTTTTCATGAACTGGCTTTCCTGAAAGTACCTTGAGCTTAATTAAATATCCTTCACATTTAAGGGAAGTGGTCTGCAAAATTTGCTTTGTGCTGTTGATGGAAATCAGCATCCTTTGAGCATTACTGGGAAGAATCTTTGGATTACTCGTTTGTTAGCTTTGATGTGTTGCTAGGCTCTTGTTAGAGTTTTGAAGTGGGAGATTTGGAGGGGTGAGTGACATGGACAAGTACTTTGGTGTTTCTACATAGGTGAAAATAGTAGAAGTAACCCTGGAGCCTGTAGAGGATTTAAAAAGTAAGAGAAAGGAGAGAACCCAGGTCAAGAGCAGGACTAGAGCCAATTGGTAACAGGAGACTATGTGAACCTTTCCTGACTTTTATCCAGGGATGTTTGCATCATAAACACATGAGTCATGTATGTGAGACTCTATGTCTGTGCATATCCAAATTAGGGAGCCTGTGTTATGAATCTGACCCTGTTTTGTAGAGTTCTGTGACTATGAACCAGTTACTTTACCCTCAGAATTTTTGTTTCTCAGTGGCAATTAGAAAGAATACCTGGCCTGCCTACCACACAAGAAGTCTGAAGATCCAGGAGATAATGATGTGCTGTGAAAAGGAGAAAAAGCTCTGCAGGCAGATGCTATTAAATTAATGAGAATATTTAGCACTGCAAGTCCCTACAGTATCTGTAAAGTAGGGCCTGGCTCTCTTGAACAATAATGAAGTTGGTGT